TTCCTTTTGTTGCCATATTAATGCAGACCAGGATTTTCTAGTAAAATATTGAACTGCAGAGAGGTTAAGAGTAGTCATTCTTGCTTTGTTCTTGTTCATGGAAGAAAACTTTCATTCCTTCACCATTAAGTATGATGTTAGCTGTAGTTTGTTTTGATTATGATTTTCCTTTTATGAACAGTGGAATTTAATTTGCTTTTTTTTTTGAGGATTTCTGTAAAATGTTCATGCAGTGAATTGGTCCATAGTTTTTTTTTCCTTTGTTCTTCCTTTATTGTTTACTGTTTGTCTGGTTTACATAATCAGGTTAATTTTGGCTTCATAAAGAAAGGTGGAAAGTGTTTCATCAACTTCTAAGTTCTGATCCACTGAACTGACTGCTTCCCAGTGTCGTTGGTCTGGTTTTCCCACTATTAACAGGTGGGGAAAACATCCCACTGAAGTCCAGCAGGTCGTTCAGCTCCTTGTAGGTCCCAACCGCGGCCAAGCGCTGTTGTTGCGGGGGTCATCTTCCGCCATTTCTTGCAGGTCCAGCCTCCGGCGAAAGTTCCCTCGGGCCACACGCGGTCGGGCTGGGCAGTCACCTTCCTCCGGGTGGGCTGCGGTCCCCCCCACAGAACTTGTGGGTCTCCTCAGGCGGACATTTTTTTCGCTGGGGGACCTCAGCACCGCGCTCCGTTTGCCTTTTTTTTTTTCTTCAAGAACTCATCATTCTTCTTATGTCTATTTGTAAGGTTCTTTTTACTCATTTTCAGTGTATATCACTTTCCTTCGAATCATGTTAATCTTTCATTTTTTTTGGTAGTACTGAGATTGAACCTGGGCCCTGGGACGTACTGAGCTACATCCCAAATCCTTTTTACATTTTTACAAGGTTTTGCTAAATTGCCTAGGCTGGCCTTGACTTTTGTTCTTCATACCTCAGCATCGAATAGCTGGGATTACAGGTTTGTGCTGTTGTACCTGGCTGCTTTTTCTTTAACTTTAAAAATTTCCTCTTTTTTGTCTTTGTGTCCCTTAAGTAACATTTCTGAAATGACTCTGCTTTATTTCTAGTTGTTTCTTGACTTTTGTACATCATCTCGGTTTACGGATTATGATTTTATTCTTTCATATATCATTGTATATTTGTCTTTGATCTCGTTTTGAAACAATACATTGTGATTTTTGAAGCATGGCTTCTGCTGTGGTTCAGGTTTGATTTGTTGCCCAAAGTTTCATATACCAGAAGCTTGGTCCCAGTGTGGTGGTATGAAGAGATGGTGGACTGTTACAAGATAGTGGAACCTTTAATAGGTGGGACCTAGTGTGAGATGATTAGGTCATAACTCAGAACACTGCCTAATGAAGTAACTGATGCTGGTCTCATGAGACCAAATTGTTATAAAAAGGCAAGCCTGATGACTGGCTCTCTCTGGCTTCCTGTCTTGTTCTGCGATCCTTTCCTCACACATGCTCCCACAAGAATCCCGTCTACCATGATGTAATATACCCAGGAGTACCCTCACCAGACCCTAGCATATACTAATGCCATGCTCTTGGATCTCCAAAACTGTGAACTAAATTAACCTCTTTTCTGTTTTTCTTTTTTAAAACTCTTTTCTTTTTCACACCCCAGTCCAAACCTAAGTGTCTGGTATTTTGTTATAGCAGTGGAAAAAGGACTAATGCATCTTCCTCACTTCATTTGTTGTCTGTTGTGCTGTTCTGCTTCCTCTCTTTTCTCATGGTAACTTTGGATTAGATTTGATCTTGGATCTTTGCTATTGTTCATTTTCATGTGAGCTGTCTTTCTGAACCTTTAGAAGGAAAGGTGATCTAGGATAGTTTTGTCCCCACACTGACCTCCCTATTAGCTATCCTCTTGCCTTCAAAATATAGCCACTCATTTCCTGAGATTTTCTGAGTCTTTTTTCCTCTACCATCTCCCCTTTCTTTCTTATCTCTTTGTTTCAGCAGTTTGATTTTATGCCTTGAGGTTTCTCCTTCTATGAGGTTCTGTTCTGCAAGAGAACCCTGGTAGGTCAGTTTTAAGAGTTCAAGAGGCAGGGCCGGGGATTTAGCTCAGTGGTTTCGCTGCCTGCTGTGCAAGCACAAGGACCCAAGTTCGATCCCCAGTACCAAAAAAAAAAAGAGTTCATGAGGCAAGACTGCTTCATACTTTCTTAATGTGGGCTCCATATACTCACTCATTATTGGAGTGGGCACAGTTCCTTCTGGTTTTAGCTGTTATTCTCAAACTGTCCCTCTATGCTTTCCAGTGATAACTGTTAACTATTTTGGGATTTTCCAAATTTGTTGATCCAGGAATACCTGGATAAGGAAGAGGCATTTAAGGGGAACCTTGCAGATGAAGAGGGACTTATCTTGGGAACAACCAGGGCAAAGCATCTGGCAGAGGGCCTGCTCTGTCCATCTGCTCTAACTGTCCATCTTCAGCTTTGTGTAGTCAGGTCTCAGCTGAGTTTACTTTGAGAAGTACATTTGGAACACTGTCTTGTCATCCCACATTCCAGATTTAGATGCTCTCCATCTGTTATTTGTTCTTATGGCTCTTGTGCCTTCCTTTCGTACTGTTCATCTCAGTTATAATTATTATCTACACTTATTTGTATAGATAATTTTTTAATGCTTTCTCCTGTATTAGATTTATTCTGTGAAGGTGGGTGGGAATATATTTGTATTGTTCACAACTTTATCCCCAGCACAGCAAGTGTAAGTAAGCACTTAATATGTATTTGTCAAAAAATGAAAGCTTACCATTTGGCTATCGTATGTTGGAACATTTAGGTTTTGAAAGCCCCAGGGCCCAGACCTGGTGTGACCTATCTCAGGTTGCAGAGTCAGCTTTTCCTTGGCAAGGGACACTGTCCTGGTATCAGAGTTGAGGTGGGTTCACAGTAACTGAGTTATTTGGGTAGAGCACTCAAGGTCTGGGTAATTGGATGAGATAAGAAGGTAACGCTATCTTTTGTCCTTTCTCTTTGAAAACAGTCCTTGTTTGCCTAACTTAAGAGTCAGTGTGGCATAGGCTCAGGAAGCAAACTATGATAACCCTGAAAGACTAGAGCCCAATATAATAGGATAACCAGGCACACTTTGCCCCCCTCCCCAACCTGCTCCAAGACATGTGATCAGAGTGAGGTGTGTGTGAGGCATGCTGGGGTCCCAGAGGTTCTGATTTGGATACTTGTTTTAAGGTTTCCTTAAATTTGGGTCTTTTAAATTATGGGTCTTTTGAGGCCTAACCTGGATTAAGAAATAAAAATAGGTCTGACATCACTTGCCCATTGAATGTTGGGATTTGTATCAGGAACCTCTATGGAGAAAGAAAGGTAGAGTGAGTAGAAAGTCATGCCCAAGGATGTCCAACTTTAAGAGCAACCTATGCAAAACTAAGAATTTATGATGGACACAATGTTCAAAATTATATGGTGTAAAAAGCCATCCTCTTATAGATTTGGCACTCATGGCCCAGGAAGGGGAAATGACTTGCTTCAGTTCTAGGTAGAGCTGAGGGAGGCAACTGTTAGTACCTAAGAGCCAGCCTGCCACCATTCCCAGTGCAGAACTCTCCTTAAACCCTTTCACCGGGTTTGGTTCTCCGAAACACAGTATATAAAAAAAACTGGTCTTTATTTAGAAGGAGGTCATTCAAGGTGAAGGAAGAGTGGAAATTATGCAATCCCAAGGAACCGGTGAATTTGTTCATTAAACAGAGGTTCTTGTGGTGTACTGTGGACCAGGCCATGTTCAAAGTGCTGTGGATACAACTAAGAACCAGTTTTGCATTCTGATTCTCAGGGAGCTTATATAATTCTACTTGGACACAGACTCTAAACAAGTAAACATATAACTAATATGATAACAGTCTGTGATTAAAATAAAACGGAGTAGTGGGATGGAAAATGATTGGAGTAGAATGTGCTTGGGCTGTTTTGGATCTTTTATATGTGATGATTTCACCCAGGAAGTGACAACCTGAGCTGAAACCTAAACAGTGAGTATGGTGGGGATGACCAATAAGAAGAGAGTAAAAACAAGTAGGGTTGTGTTATTAGATCAGGATTAGGTTGGAGAAATAGCCAGCCATGGATTACAGAGAGCTTTGTAGACTTTAGAGGAGTTTGGTTTCATCTTAATTTCAGTTAGGAGCCAGTAGGTCTAACTAATATTTAGAGAAACCACTCAGGCTTCTTTGTGATGTTTTGTGATAATTTAATGAGAGATGATGGGTATAGGAAGCAGGGTGGTGGTAGAGACACTAAAAAGTGATGTAGTAGGCCAGGGATGTAGCTCAGTGGAATGTGCCTGCCTGGCAAGTGCAAGGTCCTGAGTTTGATTTCCGGTACTGAAAAACAACAACAATAAAAAGTGATGTAGGGATGGGGATTTAGCTCAGTGGTTCTGTTGCCTGCCTCACAAGCACAAGGTCAGTCCCCAGTACCAAAAAAAAGAAAAAAAATGATGTAGTATTTGGAAGTACTATGTCTGAGAGCATAGAAGGAGAGGAATCAAGTATAACTCTTGGCTTTTGTCCTGTGTAACTGGGGAGATGGTGATGCCTTTAACTTTGATATGGAAGAGGCTAGAGAGGTTGATTAGGTTACTGAACTTAAAGGCTAAGAGAAAAATAAGTGAAGATTATTTTGCAAATAATCTGAAAGGTGATTTGATTTATTCCACGTGGTCCTTGGAAACTCAATCAGGATTAGCATATGGAAGGTATGTAAAATACAGACTTCAATTTAGATGTAGATTAGAACTCACTGTTAGAATGATCTGAACATGACTGGAACTACCAGCAGGAAGTGATGTCTGAGGCTCAAATTGTTCAAGATGAGGGATCATCTGTTGGTAGAGTGACTATGTAACTTACTGTCCAAATTGGGAAACCTTTCAGAGTAAAATGGAGGTTCTTAACTGTTTGGATAACAGTTGTAAATCTGTCTGGTCACACAGGTACCAATTTCATCCTACCTTGTTCTTATTCTTCCTAGAGACACAGAAGAGGGGATGTCTTTTGGGACCAGGTCATCTTTTGCCATCTCTCCAAAACTAAGGTTCTGAATATCTTTGGTATATTTTATTTAACAAAAAGTATTGATGCCCAACTTTGCTGGATTAGGTGAACTACCCTTTTTTTTTCCCCGGTACCAGGCATTGAACTCAGGACCTTGTGCTTGGGAGACAGATGTGGTGCTACTGAGCTAAATCACCAGCCCTTGAACTACACTTTATTTATTTATTTATTTACTTATTTATATATTAATTGGCACATTTTAGGTATACAATACATTTACATTTATCATTGGGTGTTTGTACCTGAACATGATTATCTTAGTTCTTATTTTTTCCCCATTACTTATGTGCCCTTCACCCCCACCACCCTTCCCTATTTACATAGATTTCATTTCCATTTTTTTTTTCTTTCTCATAATTTTTCCTTTCCTTTCTTCTCTTTCCCCTTCCCCTCCCGCCACCCCTACACCTTTGGACCTTTTCCTATTTCCTATTTCCTATAATTATCAATTATTCGTTTTAATCATTTTCATCCTTATATACACTTTCAGTTTCTCACACTAGAGATATTATTTGGTATTTACACATGTGTGTCCTATTTATTTCACTTAAGAGTATGGCCTCAATATGCATCCATTTAGCTATAAATAACTCTAGTTTCTCATTCTTTATGGCTGAGTAGTACTCCATTTTATAAAAAAACCACATCTTCTTTATCCATTTTCCAGTTGATGAGCACTTGGGCTGTTGCCAATCCTTAGCTATTAACAAACTGTGCCGCTATAAACATAGGTGCACATCGCTGTCATATGATTCTTTTAGTTCTTTGGGGAAGATACCCAATAGGGGAATAGCTGGGTCAAATGGGACCTCTAGTTCTAGTTCTTTGAGGCATCTCCATACGGATTTCCACAGTGGTTGCATCAGTCTGCACTCCCACCAACAATGGAGAAGGGTTCCTTTCTCTCCACACCCCTGCCAGCATTTGTTTTTGGTTGATTTCTTGATAGCCGCCATTCTTTCTGGGGTGAGGTGGAATCTCAGTGTTGTTTTCATCTGCATCTCTTGAATGACCAGGATGTTGAACATTTTCTCATATGTTTATTTGCTATATTTACTTCTTTGTCTGAGAAATGTCTGTTCATTTCGGATGCCCATTTTTGAATTGGGTCTTTGAATTTGGGGGGTCTGATTTTTTTCAGCTCTTTATATATTCTAGATAGTAGCCCTTTGAGGTACAGCTGCTAAAAATTTCTTCCCATATTGTAGGTTGTCTCTTAGCTCTGTTGGTAGTTTCTCTTGCAGTGCAGAAGCTTTTTAAAAAGATGAAGTCCCAGTTGTTGATTCTTTGTGCTAGTTCCCGTGCTACTGAAGTTTTCTGAACTACACTTGTAATAATTGTTTTCTCCTCTTGCAGACTTGATTGACATTGTCTAGTACAGTACCAGACTTTCTTTTGAATGGCGGGAATTGAGCCATGGCATCATGTAACCCTCTGACATACCTTGTCTAACCATGGGCAGGAAGGTTTTTTTTGTCTTTTTTTTTTTTGGTACCGGGGATTGAACTCGGGTCCTTGCGCTTGCGCAGCAGGCGGCGAAACCACTGAGCTAAATCCCCAGCCCCAGGCAGGAAGTTGATTTTGAGGTTGAGCTGTCTTTGCAACCAAGTTCCTGTCCCCTTTTCTTGTGATGCTTTATGGAGTGCAGATGCTCTTCTTTTTCTTCTCTTTTACTAATAATAAGTGGTGGTATGGTTTGGATATGGTTTGTCCCAAAAAGGTTCATATTCTAGAAATCTGGTTCTCAATATAAGGGTATTGGGGTGGTGAAATCTTTAGGAGATGGAGCCTAGTTGAAGATGATTAGCTCATGGGTTTACTACTCCTGAAAGGGATTAATTCTTGTCTTTTGAGAGTGGGTTAGGTCTCATGTGATTAGATTAGCTGTCAAGAGAAAAGTGTTGTTTTTTTTTTGGTACTTGGGATCGAACTCAGGGCCTTGCACTTGCGCAGCAGGCAGGAGAGAAAAGGTTTTCTTTTGTTGGTGGTGGTGGTTTTTTTTGGTACGGGGGATCGAACTCAGGTCCTTGCACTTGCGAGGCAGGTGGTGTAACCACTGAGCTAAATCCCTGGCCCCAAGAAAAGGTTATTTTAAAGTGAGACCATCTCACATGCTTGGTCTCTTCTGCATGCAGCCAAGTTTTACATAAGCACTATGTTGCAATGCAGCCAAGTCACCCTCAGAGCTGCGCTCCAGCCACCAGAATCCAGACCCCAGTGAACCTCTGTATATTATTGACCATGAGGTATTTTGTTTCTTTTAATTTTTATTTTTATTGGTGCATGTTATGGCTTACATCTAAATGCCCGCGCCCCCCCCCCCCCCACGCCTCACACAGTCATAGGTAGGGCTTTTCAGAGGTGGCTGGATCTAGAGTGTGTGATGCTGGGGTTAAGGATGTCCTGCTGAGATTGATTCACAGTGCAGTGCTAGGATTAAAGGTGGCCCACTCTGAACATGAGTGCTACCAGCCCTTGGGGTGGGTAGCCTGTATAGAATAGGACAGAAAAAGGGATGCTGTTGTTTCTTGCTGCTTGCTACTTCACTGCTGTTTGCCTTTTGCCTGCTCTGCTTTGTCATGGACTGTTTTACCTCTGTGATCCCCCTCTGCCATGCCACCTTGCCTGGGAACCAGCTGTCTATGGATGGAAACCTCTACAAACTGTGAGGTGAAATAAACCTTTCCTCCTTTAACTTTGGGTGTTGGGTATTTTTTTCTCAGCAGCAACAACAAAAGTAACTAAGACAGTACATGTTTGCAGTACATAATGATTATATTCCTCATAGGGAGTTGATACATGTACATAACACATCTTAATTCTGTTTTACTCCCTTCCCTTCCCTTTCTCCTCCTCCCTCCATCTCTTGGTCCTCTTCCCATGCGCAAAAGATTTCCCTATATCCTTTTATCTGTCTTTTATTTTGTTCTTCAGCCATTCATTTGGAGTAAGATGGAATTTTAGTGTGTTTTAATTTGCATTTCTCTGATCGCCAGAGATATTGAACATTTTTTCATGTATTTAATGACCATTTGACACTTCTATGAAGTGTCTATTCATTTGACTTGATCATTTTTTATTGGATCTTTTATTTTGGGGAGGGTCTAATTTTTTAAAGTTCTTTATATACTGTATTCTAGATATTAGCCTGTGTTTGAAGACTATCTGAAAAAAAATTTTTTTCCATTCGGTAAGAGGTCTTTTTATTCTTTTGGTTGTTTTCTTTGCTGTGCAGAATCTTTTTAATTTGATATGATCCCATTTGTTGGTTTGTGGGGCTGTTTCATGTGCAGTTAGGATTCTGTTCAGAAAGTGCTTGCTTATGCTTATGTCTTCAGCAGATTAAATGTTTCTGTTTTAATATTTATATCTTTTATCCATTTTGATTTTAGTTTAGTACATGATGAGACATACGGGTCTAGATTCAGTCTTCTGCATGTGGATAGCCAGTTTTCCCAGCACCATTTGTTAAAGAGGCTGTCTTTCCTCCAGTATATATTTTGGACCCCTTTGTCAAAGATCAGATAACTGAATGTGCTTGGGGTTGTTACTGCATTCTCTGTTCTGTTTCATTGATCTACATGTCTGTTTTTGTGCCAATACCATGCTGTTTTTATTACTGTAGCTTTGAAGTATAAAGGTATTCTGTTGTAGCAACACAAAATAGACTAAGACAGGTGGAATTATTCATTTTGTGGTTTATTTTCCAAAATAACCCATGTAGGAGAATTTCCTGTTCTTAGAATGATGTGTTTTCTGTCTTCTATTTGACCCTGCTTTCCAGAAGTGTCAAAGCTTGTTAGGTGTGAAGAAATCATTCAGAAACAATCAGTGGGTGGTCAGACATTTTGTAACTTAATCAGTTTTTTAAAATTCCTCTTTATTTAGAATTGGGGTTTTTCATATAAGATGAACCATATGATATTTAAGCTTGTGTGTCTGATTTATTTCACTTAACATTATGGCCTCAAGCTGCATCCATTTTCTTACAAACAACTCAAAGTTATCTTTATGGCACAATAGTATTCCATTGTATATAAATACCACAGTTTTTAATCTGTTCACATGTTGGTGGACATATAGGCTGCTTCCAAGATTTAGCTATTAGGAATCATGCTTCTATGAGCATGAGTATGGTTGTATCACTGTAATATGATGTCTTTTGGGAAGATACCTAGAAGGAGAATAGCTGGGTCAAATGAAATTTCTAGTTTCAATTTTTTTTTAGCAATCTCCATGCTGATTTCCATAATGCTTATACTAGTTTACATTCCTACCAACAATGTAAAAGAGTTCCTTTTCCCCATAGCCTCCTCAGTACTTGATTATGGCCATTCTTTGGGTGAGATGGAATCTCAGTGTTTTAATTTGCATTTCTCTAATGGCCAGCAGTGTTGAACATTTCTTCATTTATTTATTGGCCATTTGTGCTTCTTCTTTTCAGAAGTGTTTATTCACTTCAGTTGCTCATTGTTTGATTGGGTTCTTTATTTTTTGAGGGGATCTAATTTTTTTGAGTCTTTATATAGTCTAGATATTAGTCCTCTATCTGAGGACTAGCTGGCAAAATTTTTTCCCGTTGTATAGGTTGTCTCTTCTGGTTGTTTTTTTGTTTTTTGGCTGTGCAAAAGCTTTTAAACTTATACAATTTGATTAGTTGATTCTTGATGTTATTTCCCTTGCAATTAATGTTCTGTTCAGAAAGTCCTTGCCTACACCTCTGACTTCCAAGAGTTTTCATTATTTTCCAGCAGGTTAAGTGATTCTGTTTTAATATTTAGAACTTTGAACCATTTCAAATTTAGTTTAGTTTTTTAGTTTAGTCCAATTTTAGTTTATGGTCCTACCCATAATTTTCAATGGCTCTGTTATATTCAGATGGGAATACAATAAGTAATTTAAACATTTTCCCCACTGGATATGCATATTATGTAAGCTTTTGCTGAGTATTGTCACATTGCTTTCAGAGTAGGTTATGCC